ATTTTTTTAAAGAAAAGTATTTGAATGCATTTTGTTTTGGTATTGTATTTATTCAATAACTATTTAATTAGTGCTAAGTGTGAACTGGACCCTGTTGCTAAGCCCCAGCAAGCAATCATATCCTAGGTAGGGTTAAATCCCCAGTAAAATTGCCATATTGCACATGTCTTAATGAAGTTTGAATGTTAAATAAATTGTATATTCACTTTAAAGGTGGTTTGGTCAATGTTTTATTTTCATGTCCTATACATAACAAAGAGCACTTTGTGAACCATTAGTCTCAAAACTGGCTAGCAGTTCTGAGTTAGCTGCTGCATCAGAGTTGCACAAAGGCTTATCAATTGTAGGTGTTCATCAGCACCATCGGCTAAGCATTTATCAGCTTCCTGCAAAGGAAAAGTTAGTAAGGTCAGTAAATGTAGGGTTTTACAAAAAAAAAAAAAAAAAATAATCCCAGTGTGTACTCACAGCAAGTTTTTCTGTAACAATGGATTTCTGTTTATCAGAAAGGTCATCATTTTCTACAATCACATCATGAAGCTGACTAATAAGCTGAGTTGCTGCATGACCTTCATTTATCAGGTCCTGTGGTGGGGGAAAGAAGTGTGATAACAATCTTTTCCTGCCAAAATACAGTGTAAACTAGTGACTTAGTACCTTTACTACAGTTTCCAGTTTGTCAAAGGATCCACTTTGACACGCAGCAAATATTCCATCAATTGTCTCGACTGGTATTACCTAAAAGGAAAGACTGTCCTGGGTAAAGTGCTCCAAGTAAACCCAGGCCTATGCTAATGCTAGACAAAGGCTTACTCTACAGTGAGGCTTGCTTCTCTCTTCCCCTGGGCCTTAAGTGTATGTCCTAGGTCAAATCTGAAAGGGGAGGAGCCTCACTCTGGAAATACACAATACCCAGAAAATATCACAGCCCTAGAAACCAACTTGGTGTGATACTGAGCTTTGATGTGGGAGTCTCTTAATTGGGATGTGTTTTGTTCATACAGCTGGCTCTAAGCATCTTCACCCTGTACAAAAAGAACTTGAAAGTTGTGCATAAATGGAAACTTGCCATTTTTGAATGTATATAGCAAGCCAGGCATAATACATGCTGCCTGGCATACTACTCTCAACACTTGATCCTAAATCTAGGCAAGAGTAGATTTAGGGGCTGGGAAGATAGCTTAGCTGCAAAGCGCCTACTTGGCAAGTGTGAGGTCACTGAGATTGATTCCTGGTACAAAAAAGGTGCTTACACAAATACATCCATGCCCTAAGAATATAGCACATACTTTTGGCAAAAGGATTTCATGTACAGAGACTGTATGACTACTGAAAATTAACTGCTACCATCGGTATGCCTGACGTCCTGCAAGCCAGTGTTAATCTTCCCGTCTGAAGTACTGGTAACTCCCTGTTTCTTCACTATGCTTACAGTCTTGTACATAATGTTCTAAACGCCACAAAGCTAGAATCTCAAAATCCCTGTGTTTATCTTACCCCAGCAATATCTGTGATCACTTTTTCTGTGACTTCTTTTCCACCTGTTAATCGAGTAGCACTTTGAAGAAACGTAATGGCTTTCCTTAAGTCTCCTTCGGACACCTTAACAAGATAAGCTATTCCCTGAAGAGAGAAGAACTGTCAGCCTGTGATCACCAGTCTTTTCACTCTAAAAGAATAGTGAAGTGCTACATTTTATCCTAGAATTGAGAAACATCAGTGGTATGGTTGTGAAACTGGTAAGACAGCATCAATCTGAAGGAACAGATGTCTTGCCTCTGAAGGACCCAGCAGAGATGGAAAGATCTTCCATGTGTGTAGTACATTCTGGATCATACAAAGCCAAGAGAAATCAATTCATTGTTACAGTCTATGATTAGTAAGGGTCATACATTTTCTAACCCTTGGAGAGTGCTAGTTTTGAGACTAAAACTTGTTATGCAGAGGTTTGCTACACAATAAACATTCCATGTATGAAATCTACCAGTGTGGGGTTAATGAAATGCCAGGTAAGGTAGCTTCAGTATCTCCAAAAGTCACAGCAGCTCAACCTTGTATTCCTAGACATTTCAACTGCTGCCTACTCAGCTTAGCTGCTCCACACATTCATCGAAGGAGCTTGAAATTACCTCATTGCTAATTTTGACGTTTTCCTTCTTGGTAATGTCTAATAACCGCTGTTGTTGAATTTTGTCTGAGAGAGGCTTGAAGCGGAACTTTGAACATCTAGAGGTCAATGGTTCAATTATTCTGTAAAAGATCAGAAAAAGACACATCTTAAGATTTTTCCAGACAATTTTAATGAAAAATAACTCAGATTTGATGGAGAAGTTAATGCAGTATTGAAAATTTAAAATTCTGCCCAAATAGGGCTTATCAAGAGTTGTCTGATAGCAAATACTTAAAAAAGAGAGCTTGGAATGTTCTTAATACAAATGCTTTTGAGGGGAAAGACAGGCCAACCGATCTAGTTACTGCATGCTACAGATGTACAGAAATAAATGTTCCATGGTACTGTGTCACACACAGTGCCTAACCTCTACCTTCAGGGCAGTACACGCACCGACTGACATAGTTACAGATGAGGCAGAATCGGGTGGTTTTAGACTCCTTCTCCATCGTGCGCCTTAGAGCAGCCTGAGCAGCCGAGGTCATGGAGTCGGCTTCATCCAAAATCACAATCTTAAAAGGAGGACACGGCTTCCCACTGATTAGAGAAACACACAGGGGCTGAGCATTAATATGTAGTTTTTAACAGCTTTGACAGGATACAATACAATCTTAAAAGTGTATGCAGTTCAATAATCGTCAGTACTTGGTAATCCTCCATTATTCAAAGAGGTTTTAAGAATCCCAGTGGAAAGGGCTGGTGAGATAGCTCAGTGGACTAAATGCCTGCTTAGGCAAGCACAAGGACTGGGCTTTCATCCCTAACACCACATGCCCCACCAGCCCCACCCCTGGTGTGCTGACCGGCCACTGAGTCCAGGCAAGGTGGCGCACACCTGTATTCCCAGCACTGGGGAGGCTGCAAACAGGAGGATCACTGAGTCTGAACTGTGTAGTGAGACCCTGTACCAAATAATTAAAAAAAAAAACAAAAAACAGTGGATGCCTGAAACCAGACAGCATCAACCTTATATATACTACTATGTCTTTCCCTACATATATGTGCATATTAATGGTTTATTTTTTCTTACTCCCTTCGCAGTACTGGAGACTGAACCCCCATGGCCTTCACACTGAGTTACATCCCCAACTCTTATAATGCCGACAGCACTGCCGCTGTGTTTTGCAGTGACTATTAGGCAAAAGAAGGACTCCTGGCATGCGAACACTGTGATACACATCCATAGTGCATGCGCAGCATGGGCGTGCTAGGCCCTCAGCCATTACTCACAGTGGCATGCGATATAAAATGAAGAAACTGTCAATTCCTGGGATTTTTCCATTTAATATTTTCAGGGCACAGCTGACCATGGGTAACTGAAACTACGGAAGGTGAAGGAGCAGCTATGGGCAGTCGGCCTGACTTGAGAACTGCGCAGTCACCACCACAGTCCAATAATAGAACATTTCCATCACTCCAGAAAGAAACTTTCTGCCCACCAGGAGTCACCTCTCCAATTCTCCCCGCTTTCAGTGGGTCTCACTATACAGCTCAGTCTGGCCTGGAACTCCTAAGATCCCCGTCTCAGCCTCCCAGTGCTGGGATCACAGGCGATAATAGTCCCCTTTCTACATCTAGGTTTCACTATCCAGAACATTTCATAT